CCCCCATTCCTACAGCTAACCGCCAAGTAAGGTCTAGGAGTCAAGATGATAAGTCACTTTGGCGGTACAGTTTCAAGAATTTCAAAGTCTGGATCAATCCGGTTCTGGAACATCCATGGATCGCTGGACGTTAAGACATTGAAAATTGGGACGGTAGTGTTACAGAAGTGAACATTGTATTTACATTTCCTTGAGAACAAAAGGTTCACGCAGCCCTCGCCAAACACATCCTCACTACTGTTTCAACCTGTCACGGGATATACTCGTCACTTGGACACCGGAGAGTGAGAGAAATCGCATACCTGATTGAGGCTAACGGGCTGTATCTTTGAACTCATTGCCGGTGTCCAACCCTGGCGGTACTCGCGTTTGAGAGGCGGAAACCAGTAACCTGTTACCAGCTGTCATGTCTAGTAGGGCCAACAGAAATCGGAGAAGACTGACCTCTTTGATCTGGGGATGTCGTGTTTGTTGTCGATTTGTTTTCTGCGTTGAGCCAGATTTGAACATTCTTGTCACCCTGCTCATTCGCGGCGTATATATCCCTCAAACAGTGAGGTGTTTGACCTGAGCAAGAAGATGACAAACGGCCGTATAAATCCTTGCTGATATCACCTGTTTTGTGCTTTCTGCTCCTTAGCTTAATGTTGCAAACTTCAATCTGTATGTTTTGACAACTAGGGCGTCGAATGTCAGCATTTTCTAAAATACTGCCGGTTGAAAGCCCAATCAATGAATTGACGTCAGAAAGGGGGAAGAACCTCCCCCTATTGCAAACATATAGTCAGTCGAAGCCTCAAATGTACGATTTAAATCTCACCCTGTCTTCTGAACAATGCCTTTGTAGAAGTCGAGGGGCGTCTGAATTGTTCATCAACGTTACAGTTAGAAATGTTGGAGGCAATCATAATATACTTACCGAAAAGTCCATGCTCATCGTGGGTTCACACGCCAGCACATGCTATTATCGACGTAAATCTCCGTGACTGGAAATCGTGAAATGACCATACCAATGTAATGCCGAGCCTAGCCATCCTATTAACAAGACGCACAGGGTCGTTCTCTGTTTCATAGTTAGATATTGAGATCATTAAATAATAGGTAACGTACGAAGTGGACATCCACCGGGGAATCCATCTTCGTCCTCCCCTATACCATGGGGTGGTGAATCTGTGATAAGTATGGCGACCTTGGTGGCTTCGTCCTTCCATCCCGCATTCAGGACACGAGCGAACGCATCACACTGAGCTTCGGGTCCGTCACCACCACCATCCGCTTGCAGATTCGCCAGATTCGCCTTGACAGCCAAAACGTTAGAGTCGAAAGGGTACTGGCGGGTGATGTACGTGGAATCTTGCGGGGGGTGGTCGCGGAATGCTATAAGTCCAAATCTTAAATCGCCACCTGACCATTTTCCAGTCGCAACAAGGCGTTCGCACAGCGACTGGATGGTGTCTCGCACTTGTTCGATATAGACTTGCATACTACCCGTCGCATCGAGGAGGAAAACAATGTCTCTGCGAACGACTTATTTAGTATCAGTGATTCCTGAAGATAGAACTATATCTTACAGTTTAGACGTCGTAGCGCTAGCCCAGCTTTTCAAGGTCGAGACAGAAGGAACAAAAAAGTATTCTCCTCCCCTCGAAGTAACGAAGAAGGGGTTTCGGTTCACCGGGTGGTGGAGCCGCACCCTTAACGGTAACTTCAGCAAATCCGGATACCTGGAACGTTGCACCATCCGCACCGGTGAGTTGTAGGTTGACTTTATCCCCGGATTGTACTGAGGGAGATGTGCCTTCGATTTGAGCAGGTGTATACACAGGAGGGCTACCAAGGACAGGGTCCTGACCTAATCGATATCAGAATCTATGGGTTAGAGTGGCATACAAGAACTTCGTCAAATTAGTTACCCTTCTTCTGTGGCACCAGGGATGTTATGGGCCAGTAATCATTACCCGCGTATCCGATCGTCTGACGAACGAATCCTGAGTCCAAGCTAGACATATAGCAATTGAACAGAAGCCCGCGAGGTAATTCAGGGCTTCCGTTTGCTACATCGCGTCGTTCTTGATCAGTAACCTGAGGGCAGGAGATAGCACAAATCAGGCGGAATAATAATGCAGAGCCCATGACTCTTCTCACCTCACCGCCATACGGAAGCCCTCCACGTACGATCGAACCCGATTCAAGGAATTTAGCATCGATGTAAGGATTCAAATTACGCGGCGCGGTCTTGCGTGTGTGTGCAGTGAATGGGCAGTAGTAATCACTAGGTTCATACTGTGATATATTCGGATTGTCGCGAACGATGTAGTCAAAGTCATTGTTGAGGTCTGGGTCGCGTGCCACAGCTTGATTGTCGCGGAAGGGGCATTTAGCAAGGGGTGCACCCTGTCACGAATACGTGTTCGATGAGCCAAATGCATCAGCATACATTGCATCACCGAATCGTACCGATTCCACCTCCCAATAAGCCGTGCCCCGAAGAGATCTTCAGCTTCTTGTTTGTTGAGTGGAGGAGATATATTGCCTCCGGGAATGAACTCGCGCCAACGAGGTCCATTCCTCTGTACATAATCCTCGAAAGAGATGACAGATTGCTCGAGCTTCCTGAACACCAAAATCGTCCCATCCTTGGTCCAGGCCGGACGTTTTTACCTTGGTAGTCGGATCATCCCGTACAGGATCGCCTGGATAACCCATTATAATTACTCCAGGATCAACTTGGATCTGACCAGGGCGAGGAATAACAAGACCCCCTGACGGAACGTTGAAGTCCTACCGTACAGACGCGATGTCCGGGAAATACTCACCGTAGACAAGGTTGGGAGACTCCATCTTGAAAGCCGAAATGCTCATGCCCTTTGTAAGGGGGTGGTCGAGCCCTCCCTTCCACTGGCTTGCCGCCAGCAACCGTTATCGATGAGCCAAATAGGTCTATGACGTCGTTTGAAGCTTTGGTGCAAGTCTCGGCGCCTTCGCAGAACGTGCGTCAAGAAGATCAATTCCTTCAAGATAATAGGTACTCACTACTTCCGGCGACAGTGATGACGCCATGCAGAGCCCCAGTATCATCGCGCACTGATCCATTCACCGGATCAGGTTTTGGTTTGACAATATAGGGTCCCATAGTCTTTGGTCGCCAAGGAACTGCTTGTCGTCACTCATGCAGTGCTTGTCGAAGCGAACATCTCCAGTCTCCTCGTTTACGCCAAGGAAATACATGCCGGTACGGGTGAATGCAATCTGGTATTGCGCAATGTCGACTGTCAGGACACTACTTGCATCACGGGCGTTTGCCTTCGCAAAAGCAATCTTGGTAAGATTGTCTTTCACGTCTTCCGCAGTTGTTGGCTTGAAGGATTGCAGAGCAGTTCTGAACGATGTTACGTTGTTGATCCTGAAGAATACGAAGTTCTCGGCTTTCTATTAAAATAAATCATCAGTAGACATGTTCGAGGATGTTTGAAAGAAGAGCTATTGGACTGGTCATTTACTTTAGGAAAGAGATAAATCACGTCGCCTTGGACATTATTCAGATCAGGAAGGTCGCCAGTCACTGCAGCTTGCACCCGTACAGTAAGACTAGGGCTCGAAACCAGGGGTAAGACTGAGCGACGTCCTAAATGTTTGAAAAGGTCAAGAGAATACTGAATATCACCCATTTGGTCCAACGAATTAGGTGTGAAGATAATAAGGACGAAAATCCCTACAGAAGATGAAATAAGTGAGAGAGTACATATATATATGTGATCAAACTGGAGGGCACCGTGACCGGCTTTTTCGAAAGTCCGAGAAACCGAAGGCTATTTATCGCGATAATACGATGTTGCATTATGTGAAGGCTTGTGAAGGCCATTATGGGTGAATGAATCTGCGTGATCCAAATTCAGTGGTGAACGTTTGAACAATCTAAACTGTTTCGGATTATCCATGATGGCAGCTGTCAGAAGTAGGAATGGAAGACGTACATGTCCAAAGAGCACAGCTGCTGAGCGCTGAAGTGTTGATGGGCCATGCACCATACAAGAACCAAATTAGAGAGTGTAGTACCCACTGCTGCAGAAGAAGATCGATGAGAAACATTTGAATGTGATAAGAGATCCGTCCGGACAGATCCACATATTGATGGAGGGTACAGCTGCTAGTTGATCATGAGGAAGCTCAGTTGCATAACTTACATACACTCTTACATACCTTTTTCAGCGCAACGATTTATTTATTTTCACAATCGTTAACGTATGATTACGAATCGGAATACTGTCAACCATTTTCAAAGCGCTGTAGGCACGCGTCCCAGCTTCCGTGGTTCTGATAGCAAGTCAACCTAGATCTCTGTTTACGTTTCATTGAGGCCTCGAGGGTGGAAGTCCAACAGAAAAGGCTACTATGGGAGGCAGCTGACCTCAACGCCTCCGAGTCAAGGTTATGAGGTTACCCGGTACCGCCAGCCGCCGAACCACTATTCAATTGCCAGGTACTCAGCGTCAAGATTGAATCTCCCTCAATGATCTAGCCAACGATATGGATGCGAATCGATAATCACATCAAGGGGCATAGATCTTGTAAGATGAGTGGAGCCAGACATGCCAACCTAATCCACAGTGCTAACTCTTGAATATTTGAATTCTGATAGGTAGTACATGACAAACGCATTAAGCAAGAACGAATATCATTCATTCTTCGCGATTAGTATCGAGCCAAAATGGTTGTTTGTATTACACAGGCTTCTCCGCGAACGGAACACCCTCCAGCCTCTCCCTTATAACTAAGGGTATACCTAGATTCAAAGAAAGAAAGCACATCCACCTCTTCGATGGCAAACTTTACAAACTCGTCTTCCCCTTCGCCGGGGTATGATACCTATGCTCACTATGCTCGTAACCTGATCCAAGCCTTCGATAATGAGCTGAAGGGCACAGAAACCCTCCCGCCTAGCGTACCAAGGCCGTTGACCGCTCCACTGACTCAGAATCGGAAGATAACCGATATTAGCTCTGTAGGTCTGATTGGAATCTCGGACGCAGGTCGGCGCTCTTCTGTTTTGATCGTCGTTTTACTAAGAGTCGCTCCAGTGAATTATCAGGCGCCAGTCGATATTAGCTCTGCAAAACCGGTTGGAATCCTGGGTGCAGGTCAGTGCTCCTCTGTTCTAATCGACATTCTCCTGATTCAAGCCAAATATCTTAACAGGAGCGGGCGGGTTGTACACAGCTTTGATCCTCCAGGACCTCGGTATTCCATATCACATCATCGAGGCTCAAGGTAAAGTCGGAGGAAGACTTCTCACATACAAATTCCAAGACGGAACGGGATCGCCCTACAATTATTTCGACATTGGCGCTATGCGATTCCCGAAAATCAGTTCCATGCAGCGAGTCTTTAACCTCTTCGACTACCCACCTCTCAACGAGGGCAGTATCTCTCTCAAGACGAAGGTCAAACCGTTCTATTTTGTAGGCGGCGGGAACAACAATACCCTATACTCTTATAATGGCGTCACAGTGCGGCAGAACGCGATGCCCCCAAGTGACCCTTTCAAGGCTGATCAGGTGATCCAAGACGTCGTTAGCTCGAACCCATACATCGCTGTAGGTGTGAAGGCAATCATGGACGATGTCATTGGTCCCTTTGCAACACGCCTACTTGACGATTTGAAGACTGGAGGGTCAGAAGGTTGGAAATATATGAGGAGCTTCGACCATTATTCGACTCGCGCTTATATGCAGCTCAAGTATATACCGAGCCCAAGCCTTGGTCTACCCAACAAGTCTCTATCGACAGATGTTGTCAACTGGTGTGAGACTTTTGATAAGTCCACCGGCTGGTACGATCGCGCTCTCTCCGAGACTGTTTTAGAGGCCGTTGCTTTTGGTTGGCATCCCGGACCTAACCCGCCTCCCACGCAATGGTTTTGCATTGAGTACGTACGCAGTCTCATGTAAATCAAGGCGAGATGACTGATGTTCGCACTTTTGCAGTGGCGGCGCTAACGAGATTGCGGCTTGCATGGAACAATATATTCGCAAGAATAGCAAAGACGCTATCACATTCAACTCCAGAGTGACGGCCATTGGAATTAATGAGGACAACTCTGGCATGGACGTTGTTACAGACAACAAGGATCTTCACAAATTCTCGCATGTCATCTCTACTATCCCCTTACCCGTTCTCCGCACTGTCGACCTCAGCCAAGCTGGTCTCTCCCCCATGCAGTCGAATGCTCTGCGAACATTGAACTATGGTCCCTCCATTAAGATCGGAATGCAGTTCAGAACTGCGTGGTGGACGACCGGGACGGATTTAAGTGGAAATCCTCTCAATATAGTTGGAGGACAGACGTACACTGACAGGCCTTTGCGCACTGTCGTTTATCCTTCCTTTGGAAGCGTCCAGGCTGGGACGACGACTACGCTTATCGCCAGCTATTGCTGGACGGAGGATGCTACTAGGTTGGGTGCGTTGATAGGCAGAGATGACGCAACGCTTGAACAGCTTGTGTTGAAGGAGCTGGCGGATCTGCACAACGTTGATATAAAATATATACGTAACCAGCTGATCGAAACCAAGGGATGGAGTTGGTCCCACGATCCTTATACGATGGGTCAGTATCATGCAGCCGAGTTGTTCGATATTATCTATCGTCTCACTGATATTCTTTTTAAGGTGCCTTTGCTTTCTTCGGACCTGGAAAGTTCGGAAATCTTTACACGAGCCTTAACAATCCTGCTGCAGGGGGTTATCTTCATTTCGCTGGCGAAGCCATCAGTGTACGGCATGCTTGGGTGGAGGGTGCATTGGATAGCGCTTGGAGAGCTGTCCATGAAATGCTCGTTTTCCCTGCGTTCGAATCCTACCGAGACAAGTTCTTCGAGCATTGGGGAGTAAATCCTGAATGGGTTACACAAGGTGCATTGAAAGCACCTACCAATCGTCGTGGTGGGGAACCAGAAGGTCCAGAACCCCCTGCTCGCGCGCCCCAACCGCGGGACGATCTTGTCTGGGAGCACATCGTGCTCACACACCCAGAGCTGTTTAAACAATTGTAGGCCTTTCGTTACTCAAAGTTATCATGAATTGTCGACCTCTGCCTGTTTACGCTGTAACTTGTATCATTACGACGAATGAGTGTGGATTGTTCCTTATGCGTTGGTTATGTGTTGTGCATAGTACCACCTGTCCGAATTCAATATTCAATATTCAAGAGTTAGCAGAACACCGCTATGAGGTTATAAGGTCAAGCGACCTGGCATGAGTCATAAGTGCCCTGTTACAAGTGATGAGACTACTGTTCCGAAGTAGAAACTCAGCTCCAAAATTATGTTGAGAAGAACAAGGTACGTGCCACTGTCACTGACAGGCTAACAGCAGAGCCGGGCCCGGTCAGCTGCACGTACCTTCAAGTTTTTGGGGGCTTTGGGGATTTTACTCACCTTACTCCACTCATCTTACAAGATCTAGGGTCCGGGAGTTTCAGTCACATCTTAACGCCGGACCTGGGGCACATCAGCTGGGAAGTGGTCCATTCTATATCGGAGTCATAGCTTTAAAGGGCCTCATCATCTCTCTAACTCTCACCTTTTCTGTTGGACTTCCACCCTCGAGGCCGCAATGCCCGCGTCTATGATACGTATACGGTAAACCCAATTCTCAACTGTTTTCGGAACCTTGGAAATGCCGAGCTCATGGCGACACACTTAGCTAACACAGCTTCAGAGTGTCGATGGCATTTAAAGGTGCCCGAGACTTACTCAACAGTTGAGCGCTGAGCTTGTTCATATTCCTTGTTGGATTCTGTCTACTGCACCTTATACAATGACCTACCAAACCAAACCTACTTCCAATGGGGTGTATCGCATCAAAGTTCTCAACCAGGATCTTGTCATCGAAAGCGCCCCTGGTTATAATCCAGGGTTGAAGCTTGCTTCACCTTCTCCGACTAGCAACAAGCAAAAGGTACGTTAACTAATCACATCTTGTTTTACTATATGCTCAATTCGTGCAGTGGACCCTTACCCAATTGTCGGGGCAAAGCAACGTCTGGACGATGGTCAGTGTCGAGGATGGGTATGGTATAACCTACAAGAAGACTGCAGACACCTATTGGGGTTATGGATACCCTTATCCTCAGAATGTTCCCTCCTTGAACTGGTCTATATTGGAACGAACCAGTGATGGCCAAACCTTCTCAAAGTTCGTGTCCTAACATGATGTTGCTAAGAGTTGTACCTCACATGTGTCACAGGATAAAGCTAAGCGGCGAGTCGAACTGCTTCGACTCCTGCGACCCAGGATCAGATGCCGTTTGTGTCCGAGTCTACCTTCCTGTCATTTTCTCATGCCTTTTCCCTTCATAGGTCCACTTTTACTATGACCATGCTCATGTCGTACGTCCTCTCTATTCATTCCGTACTCCTACATAATCATCACCTAAAGTACGATGGTCCCAAACAATGCTTCGTTTTTGAGTTAGTCCCAAATGTCAAGCCTTCTGCGCCCCTGTGAGAATCATTTCGTTGCGCGAAAACTGCATGGCGCTGATATAAATTCGACTCAGTGACATCATGTTCCTCCAAGACGCTACAGGGAGTCAACAGCAGTATATTGACACTGCGCGTAACGGGATCACCCAGATTTGCAATACACTTCTATCTGGGGGAAACTTCGCTCCGGGAGATCTCAGATTTGGCCTTATTGCATTCCGCGATCATCCTCCTCAAGATCTGAGCTTCATCATCCAGGAATACCCTTTCACGACCGATTTTGGAAGTGTCGCAGCGAATTTAGGCGGCTTAACAGCGACGGGCGGTGGTGATGGACCTGAATCTCAAAGTGATGCTTTGTCCGCTGCCTACAAGGCTGACTGGAAGGACGAAGCGACAAAGGTCGTGGTGCTGATTACCGATTCACCCCCGCATGGAATTGGAGAGGATGGAGACGCCTTTCCCAAAGGGTGTCCACTTCGTAAATCATACTTTTATTCTTCAGTCGTGATGGATCAGCGACTAATTCCAAATTAGAAATTGACCCGCTCCGTGTTGCGACGAGGATGGGAAGAGCTGGTATCACTCTGGTATGTCGAACATTTCACATATCGTGCTAGGGTTTAATGTCAATACAGTACGTGATTGCGTGCGAACCTACCCTGAGCCAGTATTACAAGGTGAGATCATTGTCTTTGTGCCGCGTCAGATGTGTTATTGATTACGCAGAGAGCGCGTGATTTCTATCAAGGATTGGTTAAGAAAACCGGGTAAAATCACCACAGCCTCGATCGTATATTCATAGGTTAACTATTTTTGTAGAGGGAAAGTGCTCAACCTCGGCGATGTCAGCGTGCTGCCCACTCTCATCGCTGGTTCCGCTTTAGAAGCAGTCAACAGCGAGATTTACGTTGCCGAGTATCAGGCTGAAGTTCGCAGCATGGCGACCGATCAGAAAATGAGCGCGAGCGAAATTTCTCAGAGGCTACACAAGAACTTCGTGGCGGCAGGCATCCAACACAACACTCTCGTTGTCGATAATATGTACGAACAGCGTACGCAAGGAGATCAGAATGCCGACATATGGTTTAATGCTGAGAATCTCGACGAGGCAAAGAACAATATTCAGGAGGTAAAATGTCGACGAATCTTGTGTTTTAAATTCTCATAACGCCATCCAGGTTGAAGGCAATCGTATTCTCGAAAAGTACCAGACCCCTGGGGTAGAACAATCAGCTGCTGTAGTGGCGCAGCCGATCAGCTTGGCTCAGGTAATTTCGCTTCACTCGTATCAAAGTTTGTAGTGACCCCTTTGACAAGGTCGAGACCGTCGTTCAGAAGTGTCTTATGAGAGAATCGTGAATTTAAAGACCAAGTTGTTCTCGCAGATACCAACATGTACTAGTATTACCCGGCTGGAGGCATGTAACACCAATGGCAAATATCATCGAATTGAAAGATCAGGGTTTGCGGAGCTATGGTGCTGTTCATTTGTGTACAAAAAAAAAATTCATTAGCTACTATCAGAAATTGGACTCGAAATCTCCGTATCCTGGAGTCTTGATGCTCACTCGCACACAGGTTATGTATGTACGTATGAGCTGGGAGGGCAGCAGCCAGAAAAACGAAGCCATCTCCACAACTGGTGATCCCTGACATATTGATTCTATTTCTCACCTGATCCCAAACCAATCGAAACTTTCGCTCACGTCTGAGTCCGATGTTGCCGTGACGGTCCCAGAGTTACATAATGAGACTGCAGAAGAAGATTGATCAGAAACATCGAACCAATGTGCGTTGAGTCCAGACCAGTCCGGATCTACATAGTCTCTCCTAGTCAGACCAGAAAGACGCTCGTTCCTTCTATATTATAGCCCAGACCAGAGCATGGTCACTGTCAATCACTTTTCTGATGAGAAAAACAAGATCGACCCGGTAGAATTTAGAAAGTGGAGCAGAGCTCACCACAACCTACAGTAGAAATACCGAAACCTATGGACTATGACCACGACTGTAGATATTTTGTGATAAGAGATCCGTCCGAACAGATTTGCATGCACCGTTGTCACTGGATGGGGACAAGACTAGGGTACTGACTCATGCGTCAGGACAGAGGTCATGAGATCCAGGAAGCCCACCGAATAGAGGATGAGTGGCATTGAGTTTGGGCCGCCTAGGGAGATTCAATCTTGATGCTGAGAACCTGCAATATAGTCTTCATCTTCTTTGTGATAAACCCTTAGCAGTATGTGGGGTATTGGGGGGGCAATGACGACGTATGGAAGCTAGATCCACAACTTTGAGATTGATGAGTATGTGATACCGTACTGCATAGTAAACACGTACTGAGATATTGCTGCAAAGTCGTCTGCTACTCTTCTCGACATTGTGCCCTCTTGTAGGATGGGAATGATCGGTTCCAGGATTATAGGGCGCTCGCACGGAGACCTCCAGCCGTAGCGCTGTCCTAACCTTTGAAGTTTGAAGGAAAGAGTTGTAGACTATCACGTGATCATTGTTTGTTTGACAGCTAGTGCTAGTGATTTCAACATAACCGTAATATCATCCTATCATCATAGTACACCATACCTATTACTCAGTACTTCAAGTCGATCGTGTCAAACTGCCAGTGGCTAGCAGCGAGTTTAAACTCTCGAAGGGGTGTGCGGTGCTTGGACTGACCTGTGACATGTTGCTCAAGGTTCTCGGTGTTGAAAAACGGTTGCGATCGAATTTTCCGTAGCTTATTCTGGTGCGCGTATTGTGCATCTCATGCCGTCTCACACAGCCTTATGTTTTAGCCGTCCAGAACAGGTCGTTCGCTTCTGCACTTCTATTACGGCTACAGCCGGAATGCTCCTTCCAATAGCTCGAATGTGGCTGAAAGCTGTTCATCATGCACATCATCATGTAACTTGTCTAAACGCTTACATCTCGGGTACGTTGTGGGGCTCGGCGTTCATAAATTTAGCTTATCTCTCCAGAATCCAAAGCACAGGCAGTCAGGTCAGATTATCTCTTCGATCACAGTCAATCTCAATCAATCACGCAATCTGGATCATTTGATTCCCTTCAACATATAATTCACAAGAATGCATTGCCAAGGCTTCTAGCCTCTATGATTCTACTTATGATATAAAGGTCCGAGTCGTCGTACCTGGCGCGTTCGTGAATTGACTTGAGCTTTGTGTCTTAGCTTCTCGTGATCGTAGGCGTTTCAAAGATCCTCAAGTTGCCTAGTCAACAGTAGGCTGCGCGTTCAGGCTCTCCGAGACTCTCGATCATCAAGTACCCCGAACGACCACGAGTGAAGTCAGCCTCAAAACCTTGCTGGAATCCTGACGCTCATTATCTCAACATAATTCTTGACGGAGCCCAGTGAGATACCGGACACGCTGCTCCACTGGAAGACTAATTAATAATCACCAATGTCTAGCCGGGATTAGCGCCCGCAATGCACGCCTGCCTGCAGATTTCGAGAATGATTTTTGAGGAAGTGACACAGGTCACGAATAGCGTCGTACGGCCATCATATACCACTCTGTACCACCTGGCGGTGATATGTCAAGCTTTGCGAGGACCGGCACTGGATGTCCTATGGGCGCACATACCAACGCCGGACGTGCTTTTCCTGTGCCTGCCTCAGGACGCTCGAGGCTTCTCAAACCCTTGACCGATGATGATCGGGCTACCTTCCAAATGTATGCGCGTTGCGTGCGCTCGCTCACTTTCGAAAAATATGATGTCGAATCCTACAGCATGATGAGAGGTCATAGGCTGCACGATAGTGCTGCGCTTACTCTTCTGAGCACTTCTGCTTCGTCGCCCCTGCCATTTCCTCTACTCTGTGGGCTGTACTGGTATGACAAGCGTGATGTGCTTCTGCCTTGCCTGCAGCGCTGCATTTCCACAACTCTCACTCGACTAGCCATTCATTCGGAGCTTTGGCCATCAGCAATGGTCGATCTCGTTGCAGGCCTGGGCAAGGCTTGCCCCAAGATCAAAGAATTTCGTTGTTCGATGCCGACCGCTAGTGCATGCGCCATGTTTCCTGGTTTCGTCACCTCCTGGGATGATTTGGAGATCTTAGAGAGAGAGACAGTGGATGCGCAGGCATTGCAGCATCTTGCGTCCTTGAAGAAGCTGAGGGAGCTAAGTATACTCGTGCCGGAAGGTCACAGCCTGGACCTGGACCCGACATCGACGTTCAGCATAACTGCTGCAAGTACCGAGCTGCTTCTCGCTTTTTTGGCTCCCTTGCAAATTTCCGCGAAGAGTGCGCATTTGAACATTGACACAGCTTTAGGCGTGTTTTATCTCGACCAACTACTTTCATCCCTCGCAGAGCACTTCAATCCTAACGTTTTAGAATCGTTGGATGTTGGGGTGGATCGCCCCACTGACCCTAGCAAATACGCCCTTTTCGAACTGGCTGCTTCCGCTTTCCGAAATATCCGGGCCTTCACAAGGCTCATCAATCTCAATCTCAGTTCGATGCATGTCTCTATCGCCGATGCCGCGAAGTTCTAGACCTTGTTTCCGCTTGGCCAAAAATGGAACGTCTTTACTTTGACACGGCCTGGGACTGGGGAGTTGCCCACTTGAAAGTGACGTTTCGTGGGCTTGGGGGCGCTGTCCAAATTTGCGCTCGGACCGTCCAAGGCCTAGGCCTAGGCCAATCCCTCCGATCAGAGTCAACTTGTCAATTACGCAATCCGAAACCTTCAACAAACATATGCATATGATTCACAAACTTCTGTTTGAAAGGTTGTCGTATCAGGTTGGCGTGTTTGCGAATTGATTTGACTTGTATCTGGTTACTCTGAGTGTCTGGACTTTCCAACTTGTGCAGACTTCGGAAGTCCTACCTTCTCGTCGCGATCGTAGGTGTCTCACAGATCCTCAAGTTGCCTAGCGAACAGTAGGCCACGCATTTAAATTCTTCGAGACTCCGATCAATAACTACCTCGAACGACCACGATATCCTGGCGCCTCTTTTAACAACCAATGAAGTCAAGGTATTCTGACGGGCAACATATAGCGAATCAGGTTCCATGTCTTTGATTATCAACTGAATCTGCGTATAGCAATCGTGTCTGATTCATTTCACCATTTTCTGAACTTTCCGACGCCTCGATTCTACCGCATACCACTAAGTAGATGCCTCGCCCGTCATCTTGGGCATCCATATCGAGGCTTAGCTGCTGGTTCCCTTTTCGGCCAACTCCAAGGACCAAAATGGCCACTTTATCGGTGCTTTTTCATGAGTCTGTTCGTCGTTATCACCTCAGGCTTTAAAGCTTCAGATCTCAATCCTCAGGTTATAAATGTTACTGTGCAGTGATTCTTTGTACTGTTTCATAAATCGTCATGTTGAAGGTGTGAGATGTGAATTTCCAATATGTCACATCCGGCAACTCAGTGGACCTAGAGGGTGACGAACCTCGCTCCAGGCGGCCCAGGCCTATTTATTGTCCTAAAATGCTCGACGCAAAGGGGTGAACGGGTCCAGTGTCGAACAACCGCCCCTTGTTATGACGCAGTTGTCCCCCACTGTCAAAAGCTTATCTGCCACCTTGTATTTAATGCGGGGAGGAACTACATTAGATTGACAAATTCTATGGCCACGTCAACCATCTCTTTGGAGCTCACACCTAGAGTTATCGCACAGCGCATGGTATGTCAATCTCTTACTTGTATCCTCACCAAGTACAATTTGATCCTCATTAGGACACGCGCCAGCTGCATGGCTCAGACTTGCCTGACACGCGCTCGGAGGTGTCTTATCCTCCGAGTCCCCATTCACAGAAACCTAGACCGCTTTTGTTCTGGTTCGGTTATCCCATTGACTTCGGGAAGCTCGAAGCCTTCGTAAAAGAACAGAGCCCTCTCTACCCTGATCTCTCCCAAGATCGCACTCGCAGCGAGGGGATCAACCATGCTTGGAACCGCAATTTCATCATCGGCGTCATCGGCAAGATCTTTGGGGAGTCGACTCGACTGACACCTGTGTATGGCCGTAGGGATGGCAAACCCATTATAGTCATGTCTTTCTACTGCAACTTTGACGCTCCAGGGAGAGCAGTGCTTGAGAACGAGAAAGCGTTTGCCCTCAAGTTCACCAGTTTGGAAGGGGAACCGAGGTGGTATCTTGATTGGCGTCGTAATCCGGTCCCTGATCCTTCGGACCGGGTCGAGGTGCGTTAAAGTGGATATTATCCTTGCCAATAGTTGACTTTACTCTGTACCTAGAAATCCACTGTATGATTCTTATGTCTCACTTTTTCCGTGAATGACCGTAAAACAGCTATCAGTCTATGTACCAGCGTGTATGATGACTCGAGTTGGCCACAATGAACATCTTGATATATTTTGATATAACGTGCTGTCGCTGGTCATCCCCGCGACATACAAATCATTTTGAGCAACGTAGATATACATTTGTGTTGCACGATACCAGGTATCAAAACTACATAGAGAATCCTAAAGTCAATCGCTACGAGACCCACTATGTAAGGCAGTGCGAAGCGCATATCTCGTATTTATGTGGGACGTCCGTCAATTGCGTACAGTAATTTTAAATAAATATTTGCCACCCACGAAACCAGGGATGAAATGGAGTAGTCTGTAATGAAGTCAAAAGATAGTCTGTAATAAAGTTAAAAGAAATCAGTAGAGCAGCATAACGCCCCCGATCAGTGCAGCTCCCACAGACACACTAATGGCTGTGACCTGGTTCCTGATACCGGCCCATCCCGGGCGTGCAACACCGTTCGTAGAAGGCCCGAATGTTTGCGCGAATTGTGTGAGAGCATTTGGTACGCCGCTAACGGTCACTGTTGGTGCTGAGGCGGGACTTGGGTTGCTCCCTGTGGCATTGGCGTCCACAACCGAGAAACGGGAGGAAACAGCGTAGGTGATGCCAGCTGTGGAGTTGATGCAAATCAGGAAGTAGTCATCGCCTGCTGGTACGTCTTCGAGGACAACATTGAGGGTACTCATAGTGACAGGCACTGTTTAAATTAGAGGTTGGTGACAATTAGAGTTGTCCTATGTAAGAGAAATTACTAAGGCTTACGTTCTTTTGCGACAAAAAAAATTCCAACCCGACTAAGTCGCGTTAACTCGACATCGAAGGTATCAAAGCCATCCTGCAAGCCCAACGACCACGAAACCGGATAAGGGGAGCCATTCTTCCAAGACGTGGATGATCCGGGCTGATTGACTACAAAATCTGACGCCCATCCCGATCTTCGGTCAGTACCTATTGGGGCAACGAGTAAGGCCCAGAGCACACTTACAGGCATCAACAGAGATAAGTGATGAGAGCAAAAGCATTAAAATGAATGCAATGCAATGCCAAGAGCGAAGGCACCCCGAGAGAAGCATTGTTCTGAGCGCGGCGTGGACGAACTGGGCGAGGTCCTGTGTCTTCTAAAAGGAGTGCGGTAAGAGTGCGGAGTAAGGAGCACAGAAAGGGCATTCGTATGCACCTGTTGGCCTCGTGTTAGTGAACCCCAGGTACATTGTTGATCAAAGTTTGTCACTATTTGCAATTTTCTATCATCCAATGATTATAATTAACGTTTGACTTTACTATAACAACTTAGACCTCAGACAAACTTTTCATACGAGTTTATTGCAGTGACAATACGGCACCTGTGACACACTCAGCACTACGGTGATCCCTAGGCATGTAGGAGAACGTTGAGTTCTAGAATGACTGGCGCTGAGAATTCATTTACTCCCATGTAGCGAGGGCCCATCTGTTAATCGTTAATTCCGGCCGGACAGGTACTACCCGGGTTGATAGATATCCGAGCTCCACAGCTGCCTGCTTATATACTACGTAGTACTGTTGTCCTGGCAGCACCTGGCAGCGCCGCGGCCAATGTACACTGGCTTACTTCTAGCCCGCACCAACAACACACTCTATATAGCACCTGCACCCACCCAGCAAGCCCTCTCTTTACCCAACCCCCTACTCCACCTCCTTCGGACATCCAGCTCCGTGGTCCTCGGAGATCTTTCTTCATCTCTGCCACCACCTTCGAATCCTTCGTTTCAAACATTATTCTCAGGGACACAGCACTGCGAGCGGTGCACGATAATCTGACTACATAGGGTAAGGTGATGTTTTGACTTTCTGCACTTTGCGGGTGAGTTTGGGTGATTTTGGAGACATGGGATAGGATGCAGCCGTTGGGCATCATTTCCGATCATGAAATATCATACAGATTCCAGAACGAAAGCATCGTGATTGCTAGGAGGCTACTATGGACTACAGAACAAAAGGCAAACTATGGCAGCTGTCTCTTCACAACCTTCTACATAGGTTGAGACAGTGAAGAAAAACTCCTTTGTACTTGCTGTATCCAATGATATCCAGTTGCGTTCACCTTTTCTTCCATTCCAGCGCTAAACAAGCTTTGCAGCCTGCCTCTGCAGTCAAAAGTTCGTCTCGGTCTCTACCTGATCCTTCTGATTGGAACGAGTGGGAGTGGCTCACCGCGATTCATCCAAATTCACGCATGGCAATTGTTTGAAAGCCTCTGGGTGCATTGTGAACTTACCTCTATAAATTCTCCCATACTATCTCGTGCTCCTTGTACATCGCCATCAATATTGACTTTCACGCTGTGAGTGTCGGAACATTCGAAATTCGCCATACACTAGCAGTTTGTTGCAGACAGAGCATGCCAGCGCGCAGGCCGTGCGCAGGACCGGGCATGAAGTTACATGGAATATATAGGATGGTACTATCTCGAGCCGTTAACGGATTCGCGGCCCGATGACCTCGCAATGAAGCGTTGGTCCTGTGTGCAGGTCGGAGCACTCACTTTGTTCCTTGAAGTGTCGCATGACCTTGATCAAACTTCGTGCCCAGCCGATAGCCGAAAGTTCCTGCAGCACCGCTTTGCCACGCACATAGCTGCCACCCAGGCGTAAATCTTAGTGCCATTCATTGCGTCCTGCAGCTGCTTTCTGCTTACAATTTTGTGACTGGCGTCTGAGTTTCCGCTGGTTCTGACTCTCTACACTCGGTTTATCACTCCACCCGCGTAATCCTGATAAGCCTCCTCTACAAATTCTCCCATGCTATCTCAAGATCTCATGCTCCAGTTCCTTGTGCATCGCCATTCACTTCCAAAGTGCTCCTTCGTGGTTTGCATAGCTGAACATGCGCACGCGTTTTCAACCAAGACCAGAACTCGACTTGATCCTTTCCTACATGCATCAATGGCCAAGAGGCAAGGTGGACGTCCAAGTGATAAGCAGGATATACATGGATACCATGGTCTGTGGGAAAATGTAAGGGTGAATTTTTATGCGCGCCCCAGGGAAATCGATGCCGGATCCGGGATTGGATGATTAACAATAAAATAACGCCATCACGAAGCGTCGGGCCTAAGGCTCCCGAAAGTGAAACGTTCAAAGAGAACCACAATCGAGTGTTCGGACTCGGTCGTGAGCTGCCAATGTGAGAATTCTTCACAAAAACATCTTTTGAATACTCACTACGCCATAAAGTTTGGCGTTTAACACAAGCATCGATATCTTACAGTCGAAGGGCAAGCTAGAAAGCGCCTCTACAACACCCAAGGCTACACTATGTGTGCACGACTCAAAATATCGAAGACCCTGACGAGGCCTGTGGCTTTGAGACATTGAATAGTTCCGAGTCTGCGCAAGTGCTTTCCTAGGCTGTCGATGCACATTGGCTAATTGTAACGTAAATTTCAGATGATTTATGTAAACTGTTCCCTCTCTGACATACTTCGGCACACAATTATACCCCATCTTGGAGTACGACAAACAAGAATTCGAAGTCAATTGATATCCAGCTGTTGCACGAAGCACATGAATGATGTTCGCGACGGTACATCGGATCACCACGTATTACTGTGTAATCACGTTCTACGTTCTGATTCATCTTCAATTGTCATTACGGCAAAATTATGATGGGCTAGCGCGCACCACCCAGCTGGAAGACGCCCGCGTCTTTTGTGTATGTCGCAGTACCACGTCGCATCGTTGCGCTCACTATTTCCCCCAGCGCAGGAACCTGTATTATACACATCCGTCGCTCAGTGCAGCAGAACGTTTGACATAGCCTTCCTTCCATTGAAGGATTTGTCGATGCGTGTGTCGTGCTGAAAGAATCTGATTGACGCCTGAGCGGAAGCGAACAGACTCTTCCGAGTCATTTGTATGCTTCAAGTCGTAACACGCATGCCATGCCGTACCATGCGCGACCCACCTTGTATATAGCGTTATAAACTTGAACAAACGCCCGGGTAAGCACTAGCTTCCTGCTACCTCCATTCTCCCTGAGCAGCGGTTGCCATGCGCCTCTTTTCATATTTTTGGCTTTTAAATTCCATCTGGTCGTGTCTGGCTGCAGCTACCTCAAGGACGATCTCCAAGAGAGGTAACAGCTCATTCGTTAGCTCTAGTAAAGATGGGTTTTCTGTCAACGGAAGGTAAGAGTGATTCCTTTTATCAGCATATGGTGTACAAACACTTCGCACTATAGCTTACTTAGATTCGTCGGGACCAACTTGTACTGGCTGCCGACGTTGGAATCGAACGACGACATCTGGAATGTGCTGAAGAACATATCTGATACCGGTATCAAGGTCGTCAGGATTTGGGCATTTAATGGTTCGTTCATCGTCTGTTTACCGAGGTTCGCGATTTTAGTGTCTTGATTGACAGACGTGGAAATCATTCCGGATACTGGAACGTGGTTTCAGTTGGTACAGAACGGCACTACTACAATTAACGACGGACCAAATGGACTGCAAAAACTCGATACAGTGATGCAAATGGCAGAACAACAAGGGCTATATGTTATCCTGTCACTAACGAATAACTGGAATCCAGTACCTAACACAACATTAACCGGCACTGCATCACCTGATGTGCTTGCATCTGTCACTATTCCGCGTAACACTCTTTCAAACGACTATGGTAAGCCACTTGGTGTTCAATCAGACCTTGGAAAATCAACGTTTTTACAGGCGGTATGGATCTATATGTCCGCCAATTCGGACTTCAGGACCACGACGAATTCTACACGAACAACAATATCTTGACCGCCTTCCAGAATTTCACCAAGCAGATCGTATTACGCTACATCAACAGCCCTGCTGTGTTCAGTTGGGAGCTTGCGAATGACGCTAGGTAATTCACCCTGTGTATCTACTGCCTTGGAACATGTCCCTTATCATGTGCCAGATGCAACTCGACCATTCCCACTAGTCCAACATGTACCACACAAACCATCACAAAGTGGCACGCTTTGATGGCTGCGTTCATCGCGTCCCTCGATCCCAACCACGTCGTCTCCGCTGGGTAAGTAATCATACGTTGTCGTTTTAGGGTTATGGTTCTCAATTTCCGTAGAACATCTGGATTCCAATGCACAGATTGTCCGAAGTTGTACCCAATCACACCAACAGCTTCGCCTACGCCCTCTCCCGCGCCTGGCAGGAAGCGCAGAAGCGTCGCCCCTTTGACAAAAGAGCAGATCATAAGGCAGCGTGCTGAGTCGAGACGCCAAAACAGGGCAGCCGCTAAGCGTGCAGGAACCTTGAAGGAAGATGGGATAATGATAAGGGGTCGCTGGGTATCTACAGGTGCTTTGGTCAATGCTATCAAATTGCGATGTTTCTTATTATTTTTCAGCAACACGAGAAGTTTCCAGCTCGATCGGCCCCACAACGGATGGTTCATCTGGTGTCGACAGCCAGGACATCCTTAACATCCCCGACATAGGCTTCGGTGCCTTCCAAGTATATCCCGACCAGAACACGTACGCTCCGAATGACCCAAACCTTGACCCCGTCCAAAACAAGATCAGCTCGAGTCTTGCGTGGATTCAGCAATCAGCTCAGTCTGGCGCCGCGTGAGTTGAAAATCTTGCTTACTCAACGACTAACTTACATTCCTTTCAGCGTTGGGAAGCCTGTTGTGCTCAACGCATTCGGTCTAGTCACCCAGTCCAATTTGAATGCCTACGTCCCGTTCAACATGACTTATGCTCCTTACGCATCCAGTACAGGTAAATATTGTCGTAGTTCAACGGTCGACAACCATGTACTCATTTTCTTATCCCCGTAGCGGTCATGGGTGTCACCGCAGCAGTCATGGACGCCACTACGACATCAGATTTTGCCAATGACGCACAACAAGAACAGGGTTACAGCTCGTTTTTGCAGAGTGCGTAAATACAGAAGTGACAATGTCCAATCATGCTGAACTCTATTGCAGTGGGCAACAGCGCTGGATTGGCAGGCATCATGCAATACCAGGTCAATACACTTCCCTTCCATGTGATATATTTGATTGACGCTCGTTGTAGTGGGGCTCGACCGGCGTCTCCCAGTCAAGCACTGCTATCCAGTTAGACACAACTAACTCCGAGTCCCCAACACCAGCGCAAACAACGGGTGAATCGCCTAACGATGGTTACTCTATGTGGGTACTCCGTTGTGACATCAATTGATACCTTAGCTCACTGAACCTGATAGTGCTAACAACACAGCAATTCAACAAATTTTGCAGCAGGGCGCGCAGGCGATGGCTGCAGATTCATGAGGACTATTATTCTTGTGTACTACATAGACTTCTGTTTTTCCGTGTGTATCGGTTGCTTTTCTCCAAAGGCACTGCCTGTTTTTTATATCGTGATTCTTGAGGGTCGTACAACTAGTTGTTTCCCGCATTTGATACGTGCGTCCTTAGGGTCGAGGCGGATTCCATACCTTCTTGAGTTCGGACGAGTTTAGATGCTGTGTTGGTAGCACATACTATGTACGTCGATTAAGGGAAAGTAATAAGTTAAGTGTTGTAATATAACAGGTGAATCACCAAATGAGAGTCATGATCATAGTTTGGGCGCGTGATAATTATAAGTTGATATCTATCGAGGGACTGCAGTAAGTAAGTTAGCACCAGCCCGGATTTATAGAAAATGTAAGTTAAGTCCTGGTCAATCTGGTATAATAGTCTTGGATACTAGACGTGATTTCCGGACACTTGTTTCGCCTTTTCAGCTTCTCCATCACTAGACCAACATTCTTGCGAATCTCCTTAAGGTCGGCCGCTGAAATATCTGTCTGTTCCGCACATTCGACAATAGCCGGGAAAGCGGTGATACATTCGGCTTCACCGTAAAGCTTCAAGTCCAATGCAGCCTGCCAGGCCGACTTGACAAGGGAGGAAAACTGGTCGGCTGTAACTGCCTCAAACGCAGCTCCAGCTGCGTCTGGACTTGAAGAACGAACTCGCCCAAATATTGCAGCGAGATGGAAGGGGGCGGGCGAGTTTTCGTCGAGGTTATATAGGATAGAAATGCAGTATCCGATATGTCGATCAGTGACTAGGCGTTTACACCACTCCGTGTTGGAAGTAAGAGCCGTGATGAGCCGTAGGTAAGCATCATCTCTCCAATAGTTGAAGTTGACATCGGGTTCGTCATCTTCGCGACGTGCAGCAGCACGAGTAGGAGTAGGACAAATGGCCGTCAGAAGAGCAGGGGAAAATTTTGTGAGGAGTATCTGGCGTGTGTTCTCGCCCTGTATGGCATCAATGTCGGCGAGAGCCAACCGAGAGTCCGAAACAGCCCGTAAAGCTGCATAGCGAAGGCGACGAGGGCTGGATGAATCCATGGCAGATATGAGTGCGTGTAGGTAGACAGATTCTCGAGCACGGGTGCCAAGTCCCTTCATAGCGCTCAGCACTAATAAAGCATCTCCCATTGCCGTGTGATCCTGGGAGCAAGACACGAGGTAGTCGACCAGCCAATCGAAACTAGCTGCCGTACGATGATCGCCGGTCCACGTGAATTGGCCACGCCAAATAATTGATTCGTGGTCTGGACAGATGAATCCGTCCCCCGCAGCAGCAATCATCATGCGTAATGCAGTGCGTGCGTCTGCCCGACACCTCTCCCTCTCCCGGCCAGATAACGTTGACAGTTGGCAGGCAAAGGCCTTACACGTGTCAAAGCTTCGTGGAAGAATGACGCTGCGCCACTGATGCCAAATTTTCAACTGCTGGGAAGCAGTTCGGGTATTGGAATCATCTCCAATTGGCAGAACAGCCAAACACAAATGGTTTAAAGCTCGCCCACAGGCGACTACTCTATCTCCTCCTGAGGGCTGGAGTCTCCCTTCAGCGTCGAAGCAGGCTGAAAATGTGTCTCGAAGTCGCTGACAGTGAGACGTAATGTCTGAGTTCGGCGACCATGTAATGGTGGGAATGAGTGAGGCTGCGCTCGCAATGTCGTCTGGATCTGTGGATGTCGCGAGTACCCAACATATGGCAGATTCCGTCCCAGGGTCACTGGAAGGCTTGGGACTGAGTAGTCGTTGTACGAGCCTCGAGATGGACGTTGTAATGCCGCGGAGGAAAGAGCGAAAACTTGCGCCCAGTGTGTACATGTCTTTGTCGTTCTGTTTAATAACCATGCTTACTGCCCACATGAATGCACCAGCCATGCGAAGTATTAAGGTAGCGGGCGTTTGGAAGGGACAATCTGGGGATAAAAGGGATGCAAGGAGGGTGCACCAGTGGAACAGGAAACCAAACACCGTGGTCGCAATGATAACGGATGTCATGGTCCGCTGTTGCGTCCACACGTACGAGGAGAGAGAAATGCCGAATAGCAATAATGAAATTTCCAAAAGGACCGGAAACGTTTGCAGTACAGCATCAAAATGCCATGCCTTGAGGCTGTCAAACTTTTGTTGTCTGGTCTTACCCCGCTCCTCGAGGGATCCGCGCCCAAACCGTTTAAGCTTGTAGAAGCGAAGCCACTGCTTGCCCAAAACGGCACCGAATGCGGCAAGAAGGCTGAATGAAAGGCTGGCGTAAGCCAGAGTCTGGAACCATACTTGCCCGTTGGAATATGCAGGTGGGACCGGAAGCGGATAATTATCTGTGATCGGGGTTCCATTGCTATTCATTACCATCAGCACGATGATTTGCGTCAATAAAGCATCTGTGGTAGTAGCACCGCTAGGCCCCATAGTGGCGATGAATGCTGTATTCACTGCGGAAAATAGGCCAGACTAAAGACTAGTCATCACCCTGTTATTAACGCACGAGCTTACGGCTTACAAAAATCAGGACGATATCCATATCACCATCATAGTGCTCCAAAAATTCATTGTCGTGTTGCGATGCGACCTTTTGGTATACCGTCCAGAATCGCGATCGCTCATCATTTGCTCCCTTTTCCACAATGTTGGAATTTCGAAGAGTGTCGAGGACTTGCCGCAACAGTCTAAGTAAGTTTTCAGCACGCACACTGGAGGCCACCGGTCAAGTTACTTACGGCTCGGGTAATTTATCGCTGGAGAAATAAGAAGGTCCAGTTGCTTCACTATCGAGTGTAGACTGAGCACTTGGCGGGGTAAACGTTGCATGCTGTGCAGCAAAGGACTGAGATGATAGGCTCCGAGCTCTAAGTTCAATTTCAGATGTGCCACAGGTACGTGGAATGCACACACTTACGGTCGAAATGTGCCATCTGCTTGAGGATAACGCATGTCGTTTGGTTCTCTGCATCCTGATCAGCTATAGCGACATCGTGGAAGCAGGTAAGCCCTACGAAAAATAAAAGGCCTTACGGGCCCTTCTGCCAGGAACGAAACCATCGGTGTCCATTGAATGATGACGGAAATTGCTGCAATCGTGTCAACGTGTGGTCTTTTTGAAGTAGCCCAATGTTGCGGCTTACACCTTCAAATGCAGTAGCCTCGTTGTCTACAACGAGGCTACTATAGACGCTCCACAGTCGACCAGGGTCGACCACAGTGCATGAAATGTGACGATGGCGCTCCGGTGAACATGGTCATTCTCTTGACGCCTGCTGAGTTTTGTCGCCACCAACCACGCGGTGATCAGGACGATCTGTGGTGTGGAGTCACTGCTAAAAATAGAAACCGTGGTACGAAAACAGCATGGAATAAGCACTGCATACCCTGCATTTGACGCCTTGAATTAGAATTGACAGCAATGTACCAGCATATCTTAATGACACAGCATGCTCATCGAAGTCGCAAGGCAGCCTTATTGGATTGGCGCCATTCAGTGGAGACACAGCAGCGACTTGAATTAGAACATCATGTCCTTGCGAAGGGTGATAAGCACGTAATCTGCTGTGGTAGTTGGGTGACGCTTTACTGACAGCTGGCACAAATAGATAGTGCCTGCCTACCACTGAAAGCATTGTGGTCTGTCCATGCGTTTCGAGGATGGGTCGTAATTTTGCGAACTTGTCTTGTCATCGCCTGATGGTTGTTGGAGAGTTCGTCCACAGCGTGGGGTTTCCAGCCACTGTCGGGCACATTGACATTCCTTCTAAAGCGATTTATTCTACACGATTTTGCGCCTACAGAAAGTCATCCAATAAGCAGAACATCAAGCGGGTGTAACCATTGTAAAAGTACATTCAATGTCTTTGTTTTTAAAAGTCTCCTCGTATTTATCATACCAGATGCCTTATTGCATCTTCGCACCTGAGGGACTCCAACCACGCCGCCGTGTGGTATTTGATCCTTCGATATGGCCATTGCTTGATCTCTATCGACCCATCATCTGAGCGGATGATACTGCAAACACACTCGTCGATGCGCACAAGCCGCACGTTGGAAAAGCCGTGGTCGATCACGTTGATGACGGAACGTATTGGAAAGTTTGACATACCAACAAACGTGAGAAGAGGAGGGACTCCGGGATGTAATTGCTATAATGAAACACATTAATGCTGCTGGTTCTTCTTAGCAATGACGGGCAACTCCAACTCACGTTTATGAAAAGAAGAAGGTCCTCTGCAGGCGGTACCATAATCTCCATGGTGAGCGCACGAACACTCCGCGGAATAAGCCACCCTGCTAACGAAGGAGAAAGATCTCTAGGATAAGTGATACAAAGGCTGCGGAGGTTTATTAGAGAAGGTAGTACACCCCAAGCAGACGCATCAAAACCAATGCGACGATGGTCTGTGCTAGGCACGATGAGGTGGAAGGAATGAAGATGTTTGCGATCTCTCAAGAATTCCGAAATAGCAGGCACGAGGTCCCTGTCCGTGACATGCCGATGCAGACTGACAATCTTGAGAGCAAAGTGCGTCAGAAACGGAAGCGAGGACCTATACAGGCGGAACATCGCTGATGGAGTGCATTCCAAAACACCCGACAATGTCAGTGACTCCAGCTGGTGGCCGGTGGACAAGATCTCTGAGAAGACCTGGCTATCTGCAGAAAAACAACCTTCGAACTCGATGATCGTCAAGTGACGGATAGAGATGACATCCGTTGGGAACGTCCAGTTTGCGTTCTTGATGACCAGCGAGCGCAGGCTGTCGTGACTCTGTGATATAAAGTCGTGGGTAGATGTACTGTTGCCTCCCTCGGCTGTGATGGAGAAATGTGTGATGTGCTTGAATGGTGGGATGTCGATATCCCCTGAACGATTAACGAGACTGTGCGGAGCGTGAACATGCGGACTATTTTTTGGGGAAAGGAAGCACGAAATGACGCACTTAATGGACAGGCTATAAAGACGATAGGCACACATTGTTTCAAGCACACGATTGATCAAGTCCGTGTTGCCTGAACAATGCGCACTGCGAAGGTTGCAGAGCTTAGGCAAGAGTTGATTAACATTCCTAAGAGGGATTGAGACATAGTAGCATTGAAGAATGAGCACAAACCAGTCTGAAACGCCAATGTGTGTGACGTGTCTGAAACAACAGCATATATGCTTAAGCTTCTGACCTGCGAGGCAAAGACAGGATCTACGAGAATGCGAGTAAAAATATCCGCACTTCGCTGGTAGTGCCAGGCGTCGAGCTCCTGCTCATCGCGGCTGCCATGGACACCCCTGTATCTGTCATCGGCTCTGGATGGTTCCGGCGACGCCGTAAAATGTAGATCGATCTCGCGGAAAATAAGCTGACTTGCGATGCGAGGAGAGTGCATGCGGGACCGATAAAAGAGACTTCAGATCACGTTTGGGAAGATAGAGAGCAATTTCTCTCCGGACTTCTGCAGAAAAACGAGGCGGACCATCGTGTTCCCTAGTAAGCTTGACAGTATTTGCTAAAGGGTCATCATAAAAGAGTTGCTTAACTTACCATTTCTTGTCGTAGATGTCCAGATTGTATTATGGCTTTAACGTCTTAATTTGTGGGATCTGAAGATAGAACGGACAGCAAATCTGAAAGATAATAATGTCAGCACAGTACACGGAAACTATGGACATGTATGAATTTCACCTTGTTGGGCAGAAGTTCGGTACCCAGCTGCTAAACGGGTTTTGGCACGTAACAGGAGGGCCCTTGCAACATCTGGTGGTGGAACGCCCGAGACTTGGAGAAACGACTGAATAGCGTTCTCCATGACAATTCAGGACCTTTGTGATGCACATCAAATCTAGATTTTATATAAGTAAAGTAAGTAATGGCAGGATGCGTACCCTTCGGACGGCAAATGCTGCAAGGCGTGGAGCAGAACATCAGCCCTCTGAGTGTCGGATAAACAACCCGTCACATCGCGGATGCTGGCATCAAGGATGCGAGGATTAAAAACATTCATGAGGAGATTCCTTGCAACTATTGCTCCGTTAGTGCGAGGTGAAAATGGAGGGCTTGAGTGCGGCCCAAAGGATTTTGTGTGGTAACTATGTTATACGCTCACTGAGGCTGTTTTTGTGGTTCCAGAACCATCATGATGATCGGACAATGGTCTTAGAGTCTCGACCAAGACGTTTTGGGAAGTCGCACAAAGACTTTCCCAGGCCATCAGCAAAAGTGCCCAGACCTGACGAGGCCTCAGAAGGCCTAACAAGACCATACACGACCTTGCGAACATTGGAAGGCCTGTGATGCCTCGCGAGGAAATAGCCCCGTCTTGGATGGCCTTCTGAGAGCGCGTCTAGGATGGCTTTTGGAGGGTATGCTAGATAGGTTGACCTTGCGAGGCTGCTAAGGCTGTCGAAGCTTGCAAGGGTATACGAGGCCTTGCTAGATCACTCGAGACTTGTGTACATTAGAAAGCCTTATGAGATCATGCAAGTTGTGTGTACTTTGCAGGGCCTCAAGAAGCAATGCATTAGTGTACAGTATCAAGATACATCATGTGTATAAAGTCCGAGTCCATATCAATAAAGTCCAGAGTGTGATCGAGTCGATGGCAGTGGTCAACAAGCGGCGAAATGAAGAATGAGGAATGAAGCTGCGAGAAAGTTTGTAGTCCTAGTAACCGTTCTTGCGTCGACCAGAAGTTCTTCGTGGGGTGTCCGGAGCCATAGTAGCTTTCTTTTTTCCTTTTCACTTTGAGGGCTGAGCAAGGGGTGGAGGGGTGAAGTTGTTGTCATTGTCAGTCAGATCTGACAGTGGGGATGAGGTGCGTGGAGGTACTGGTGTGGTCGCCAGCCGGGACTCCTAATCATGACATCAACAGAGTAAAAAGAGAATGATCATAGTGACATACCCCAATCATACACGACTACTCAGCCATGAGCTCACCTACCGAATCCTCATGCTCATCGCAAGTAGTATGACGAGGTTTTGGCTTGGGTTTTGGCTTTGGACATGGAGGCTGGTCCTCATCTTCATGGTGAACAGAGGCACTCACAGGATGGTGTTGCTCGCTTGACAGCTGCATTGTGGCCAGCAGCCTCAGTGGAATACCGAGGTTTGAACTTTGGTGGCAATGGGACATGGGGATTGGACCAGCACCGTTCATGAGCATCGGATTCTGAGTGGTGGGTTGGGTTTCAAGCTGGTACCAGTTCGTCTTCTTCGTCGTCTGACAAAAATATCCCATGATGGCGCTGGGGCAGGGACTTCTTAGGTAGTGGGCGCTGTTGTCCACCCTGTCGAGGGTGAGTTGGTAGTGGTGCAACCTTGTCATTGTCGTTGTCGTTGTCATAAACTGAAGCATGGCGTCAAGTGTTGGCCTTTTGAGGATGTGGTGAGTCAAGGTCCTCGCTTGCTTGTCGAATTCGTTTGGGTGCACATGGGATATCCTCTTCAGGGTGGCTCGGAACATTGGATTTGGACATGGGACATAGGACTCAAGATTACCTGGACCAGGACACGCGATCACTCAGGATATTCATGCGACCCGACAATTCTATTCCAGCGCTATCTATTTCCAGGCTACATTGTACATCTAGCGTGCTAACAAATGTCCAAACATGCGATCCGCAGGAGCACTATCTACTGGATCCTCCTCCTCTTCTTGCAGCGTACCGCCAAGGAATCCACTTCCATCATCATCTCCATAAGCATCCCTTGCATAGTCAACATCTTGGCGTATAGCGCCCGCACTTTACCTTCCAGGTAGAGGTCTTCCTCATCGCCATCAGCGTCCGCCAGGAGGTCGAACTCTACCTCCCGACTATCGGGCGACTTTCGCTTGCGCGAGTCTTCTACCGACTCCTCTTCTTCCTCCTCCTCACCTTCAGAATTTGCGGTAGTTGCATCTTCCGGAGTTTCCCTAGGATGGCGGATAAGGACACCCCACCCCACAGAGGAACTTGGAGCAGGAGCAGAGGGCGCCTTTACCGCTGAGGCGATCTCAACCTGGCTGGGCTGATATGAAATATCTAAAAATGCTCAACCAGTATAAGTGAGTCTTGGCTCTGCCTAGCTGCTATACTCGCAGAATGCAAGAATGTTCGACCCTAAAGGGGACTGCTACTGAACACAGAACCAGATGAATGAAAGACCCTTGTAGTGTGATGGATGCGCAAAAGCGTGAGAGGAAAAGCGAAGTGAGTGCGAAGTGCGAGAGAGCGCACTAAGGTAAGCGCGAGCGTGAGAAGGTGAGTGCTAAGGCGCGCGTTGTGTGGGAGAATACCGGATAAGGAAACGGATGTGCAAAGCGAGTGCAAATGCAGACCGAGTGTTATAACGAGCGCGGATAATAGTCTAGTATAGGCGGATAACGATAACCATTGGAAACACAAAGTGCGCCCAAGTGGTGACTACTACTTTAGAGTAAAACCCAATAGCGAGGGAAGTACAGCAAAGGGGAGTAATAATGATGGAGTAGTAAGTCAGCAAACTTTATACTATGGAAATCACATCGGAAGCGGAAGGGATAGGAGCAATAAGCGCTATGAATATGTAATGACATGTAATAGCGCTGCAATGCTTGTTACAAACCATGAGGCAAGGGATATGACGTACAAATGAGGTGGATGGACATAGAGGGACATTCCTGGATGATAGGCAATGCAGGGTGCTTAAGTGCGAGAAAGCGCGCAAGGCGCGCGTGCGGGAATACTGCGCATTGTGCGGGAATGTATCGCGCCTATGGCGCGTTTCGCGGGAAAGCTGCACATTATGTGTAAAACGACTAGAGACATGATAGAAGTCGAATATAGCTGATGGTGCAAGTCGTGCATTGAAGGCCAATTGTCATGAGTTGTGAAAAGGTGCAAAATGTGCCCATATGTGCCTGCAGAAACACGAGTCTCTACACTGCCACCTTTGCCGCAACAGCGCGTGCAGCAGCCCTCTTCTTGGCAACTGCGACAAATATCAGTAAAGTTGCGACCCTTACAAGTTGGAACCACTTACCTCCACGCCTATGAGTAGAGTACTCACATTTCTTGCGAGCGTCCTTGCAGAGTTCGCAAGAGTTGCCGGGCTTACCGACACAAGGTTTCTTTGCCTTTATGCACCGTGCGCAAGGTACAGGGTGCACCACAGGTGCGACAGCGCGAGGAGCCTTCTATAGCCAGATTAGAAAAAGGATAAGATAGAGAAGTTCCACTTACCGATGCCTTCCTCCTACCTGTCATGACCCCGACAGTCGCAGCACATTTAGCGACCAGCGGGGACGAACATCCGCCTCCTCTTCATCCGACTCTCCCTCTGCATCAGCGTTGCCATCTGCCTCATCCATAGCTTCATCCGTCTCTTGCGCCTTCTCCTTCTCCTTCCCTTTCTCCTTCGCCAACTCCATCTGCCGCTCCTTGCTCTTCTCCCACTTGAGCGCCCCTGCTCATCCACAAGTCGCTGAACCTCAACCTTGTAGGCATGAATTTGCCCGGCATAAAGTTTGTTAGCTTCCTCTGCCTTGCGATCCAGGGCAACCTCATCCGACGAGAGCGGGAGGTTCATATTGTATGTCTTGCAGTTCAGCGTGTTGTCACTGAGTTCCTGCTATAAGGAAAATCAGAAAGCAAGAAAAGAGCTAAGTCGAAAAAGGGAAATTACCACCAGTTTGGTCCAGTCACGAACCCACTCTTCCTTTTGCTGGATCAGCTCAGGGCGGTCCTCGAGGATAGCATCGACCAGATGCGCTAATTTGGGTCACAGATCAGTGAAGGCGCATTGTAACTTGTCGACATTAGGGTTGATGACTTCTGAAAAGGTGAACAAAGACATGTTTGGAAGTATGAGATGAAGGAGCGGGTGAAGGAAAGGTCGGAGGGTTTTCATAGGGAATAGTGATTCAGCCCACACTTCCATTGACCCCGACCCACTCTTCGCAACCACCGTGTGCCCATTATTCCTTGCATTGTTCTAGTCCACCGATCGCGACCACCGCGTGTTTACACTTCCACCCACTGTTCCAGCTCATCGATTGTGTCCACCGCTTCTATCAAATTGCCACTACCCTATCATCACTTCCATATCGGGTCGCCATCGATCACGTGCCCTTATCGATGGACGAATTGTTGCTAAGTCCAAGTCACGACATGAGACCAACTGGGGACAGTCGGGATTCGAGTCTCCCGCAGATGTGACAATCATACCAGCGCTAGGCGCGTATGAGTGTCATAGGCATATTTTGCCTTGTCCAGAGGAAAAGAGTAAGGCGCTAGTCACCAGCGCTATTCAGCTCCCAAGCTATCCGCTTTGCAACCACTTTTCTCCCATAGCGCGCTGCCCGGTCTGATGCCTAGGTATTCCGTCCTCCCATGTCCTGCCTATGTCCACCTACCTCCGCTGGTGCATTATTTTTCCTTAAATGTCACTACTCATCAGTTGGAGGTCTTATTACATGTATCCTCGTGTTCCGCAGCACTGCATGTTTTATTACCTGTTGCTACATCGTGCCCTTGCCAGTGTCGCTACTATACTCGCCTACGCAATTCCAAACTCTTACGCAGTATGATAAAATGACCCGTCACACATACAGTACAGTACTTCCCTTCCCCGGACCGTTGCTGGTGTCGGAGTCACTTTAGTCGCTATATCCTAGTTTTGGTGCAATCAATTCCACTCTTGCCAAATCTCTTTGATCGCGTGTCGCTTGACTTGCTTTAAGTGCATGTCGCTAAAGTTTCCCTCATAAGTTTGACTTTCGCAACGTCGGGATTGCTATCGGTAGTCGAGCTATAATCTAGTCGCTATCGGGCATTTCACTTGCACTGTCTTACCTTACTCCTCACATTCACTCCCTTTGATTTCTTCTCACTGTCGCTAGTCGGACATCGCGTAGTGCTATCACATAAAACAGCTTGCATAGCGCCTCTCACTTATACGCACATTTCTCTATCGGAACTCACTTGTCACTAGTCGCTGATCGCTATAGCGCTACTCATCAGTTTTAGGTCTTAGGTTGCTATAGGTTATTAGTCCTTCGTGCTATTGCTACCCTTGCATATTAGAAGGGAGTTGCTTCAATAGCAGTCCTCTTGGGTCGAATACTACACTCGCGCCTATTTGGATAAGTAGTGCTAGTTTCTAACCAACCTAGTCGCTATTACTCTTTCACACTGCGCTCGGTCGCATCCCATGCGAATGCTAATTCATGAACATGAACGAGCCAGTGTCTAAGCTTCAACTTGTCGGGCCACAACCAATTAGCGGGGTCTAAGTCCACTCTTTCTTGAGTGAAGTGGACGCCTGGGACGAAATCAGGTGGGTGGGTAGGCAGTGTAGGCATGCTGGCCAAAGGGTCGTCGGGTAACTGTCGCGTTATTCTATATTCGGGGGGCATAGAAGTTTGTACCGTGCAAACTTTCTTTGTGACTGGCTTGTAGACCAGCGCGTGTCGGGTCTTGTCGAAGGAATATACACTGTTAAATGCGTCGACGGACGTGCGGTCAATAACTGAGCGGGTAGAGACAAGATGGGTATATTGTGCTGTGAATAGTGCCGCGGGAAACGAGTCATGTTTGTTCCATAAGAGCAGGTGATGCGTGGATGGCACGAGACGATAGTTAGAACCAGGAAGTCATGTATTAGGATGTGAAATAAGAGAGAGGGGTGGGTGTGTATGAGTCCATTTGTCTCCTTGTGGTATAAGCAGATCATCAATCATCAAAAACCCTTCTTGCGATCGCTAGGAGGTGGGTGCAATCCTTTTTTGCATTCGGGACATCTCTTTACCCAGCGATTGGTAGGAATGCGGATTACCTTCCCTGAGTTCGGGTCGGTCAGAGTGGTGTCTTGTTCCCCATTGGGCAAATCCTCAGTGCGACAGCTGGTAAGCGTGAAGAACAGGCAACCTAGCAAGATCTCGAAGTTAGCAGTCAGAACAACTTGGACCTGGAACAGTATTTCTCCCACGCCAAAGTCTAGCGGAAGATTCTCTATGATGCCAAGTGTCTTGTCAGTAGAGATATTGACTGATTCCATGACCAGCTTATGGTCAGATCTCAATGGAATGCCGCCAAGTGACCGCCAAACAGATCGCGGCATTACGATGCACTCAGCGCCCTGATCAAGGACACAGGAAAGAACCTGGCCATGACTTGTAACCGCTCTGATACATTGCAGTGACTCAAAATGTTCAGCGACAATGCGACCATCGTCACTCCTTTGCAAACAACCGTCGTACTTCCTCAGGAAATCGTGCATTTCAGGTTGGCCGCTCAGCTCGTTCACTGATACCGACCCGACAGTAACACACTTGGTGGTAGTCATCTCCTTGAGTACCTTGTGGACGTTGATAGATAATGTGATCAACTCCCGCATGGGTATGCTGATGCTGGAGTCTAGCATCTGGTTGATTACCTTTTTGTCGGCTTCCATATCTTCTAGCAGGTGGGTATACCTAAACTGTGTAGAGGAGGGATTAGTGGTAGGCTGATCATAGGATGAAGAAGAGGTCGCGGGTAGCAATGATGAGGATGAAGTACTAGGTGCAGATGATGAGCTTGCTGGTGTCACCACTACAGTACCCTTGTTAGGTGCGCTGGTGGTCTTCGACCCAGATGCCTTGACTTGCGGAGATGCGACTTCCTCTACTATGTCGGTAGTCTTAGAAGATGGACCCGGTTTTTGGGCGTGGCAGAACATTAACACCTTCAAACCGTACATTCTTACCCTTGTCCTTGTGGTTAGCGTGATCCGCTTTTACTGCTGCAAATGCATCGTGGGCTCGAGTCGCTTCTCTTTCTAGGCGGGCCAATTCTTCATCATCGGAATCGCTATCCTCTACACCGGCGCATGTGTGCATGAATGTGCAAGGCTCGATATCTAGAGTTGCTTGAGTAGTGGGCTCAGCGCGACAATACATCAACCCTAGTGCTGTTGAGTTAGAACCTGTAGCGGGTCCATCGCACAGGAATCTGTCTATGCGCTCCTTGAAATTTCCATCAGAGAGTCTTCCAGGGATGTTGCTACCATCGGGCATAACAATCCTCTTTTCTGGTGTGATGTGGATCTTACCCTCGCTGGCATATTGGTCGTGTAAAGCACAGCGGTTCGTGTAGTGATCTCCTCTGCAGAAATAACACGCGTTGTTGGAGAGAGGTCGCATCTGGCTATACTCCCGCTTTACCACAGTTCCAGTGGCGGGTTGCTGAGGTGCGGATTGCTGGTTAGTTGCGGGCGCGCTAGGAGGTGAAACAGCGACTGCTGTAGGCGCGATACTGGGTAGCAAGAATATCGCTGCGTCATATACTTCTTCCAAGGTGTATGGGTCGTCGGGATGGTGGTCGACTAGCTTGATCTCTAACCTTCGCTTGATGGCAGTATTGGCTGTGGAATGGATTCCCTCTAAAAAGTAGCGACCGAGCTTGAGTTCCGCTATCCTACTTTTGTCTAGGAGGTATTGCAAAACGTGAAGGAACTTGTGGTAGAACTGTCCGAGTTCTTCCTTCGAGCGGATTGGTTTACAGACTTGTTCTCTGCAAAGGTTTTCCAAATCAGTGCGCGCATAGCAATGATCACCTTCGCATCCTGGGTACATAGCCTTGATGGCTTCAACAAACTTGTCCCAATCTTTTCCTTTCGCAGCGGGTCTTGATGCCCATGTTTCTGATTCGTCTATGGGTGCGTATCGGATCGCAGCCTTGATGTGTTGCTCGGCGGTAAGTCCTGCATAGTCAGCAAGTAAGTCCACATCCTCAAAAAATGGTATGAGGCGCATTGGTGTGCCATTGAACTTTGGCGCAGCATCGGTGAAGATGAGGAATCGTGAGTGGGTCTATACTGAAAAATATAAGATAAGTCGCCTGCAGTAGTCCTCGAACGCGAGTAGAAGTCGGCCCAAGAGGATCTTTACTGAGTCTTTTCCTCGAGTAAATGCGAGGGGATGCGCTGAACGAGTCAGCAAGGGAATCTGCGCAAAGCGCGGGTGCGAGACGCCTTGTAAACGCGAAACGCGCGTTAACGCGACGAAAGGCGAAAGCGCGACGTAGGCGGAACCGCGAGGCGGAACAAGCGCGCTATAGGCGTTAGTGAAGAGGCGGAAGTAGCGCGAAGGTCTCTCCAGATTTTCTCAAGAGAGCTTGTTGCAAAAGAATAGAGAGTCGCGCAGTGGTTGTGTTGCAAATGAATAGAAATTGATTCACAGTATACACTGATGCAGGATGATGGGATGTAGTCCGTAAGTAAGTAAGTGAAAAATCTATCAGAGTCCCCATGTCTAAGGTAAATGTTCCCAGGCGCTGAGCCGAAGCGGAAGCGAAGCGAAAAAGAGTTGTTGTGTTGTAGAATAAGGAAATATGTGTAAACAGACGAGGTATATAGCTAAAGTCAGTTGAAAAGATAAAGGGAGACGCACCAGCGGATCATAGAGGGACAGGACAGGACGTGCGGAGGACAGGCGACTTGGAAAAGCGAACACGAAGGTAAAGCGCAAAAGCGCGCGCAAAGGCGCCGTAGTAACGCGAAAGGCGCTATAGAGGCGCGCTATAGGCGCCAGATGCGCGGATTAGGCGGAAGCGTCGCGCGTTTAGCGCGTTTAAGTCGCCTTGTCGTATATAGCGCGCGTTAGTGGAGATGAAGTGGAAATACGGCCTTTGTGAGGCTACTCGCAATGGAGTCTCTACATCGGTTCCTCTAAGAGGCATCTTGAATGGTGCGGAAGACATGATGGCGGTGTGTGACAATCATATTGGCGCTAGGCATGTACATATACCTGCATAAGCCTTCAATAGGTGGACCAAAGTTATCCCTCATATTATTCACTACTCCCCTATCAGCAGTCTTCACTTGTCTCAGCCATAACTCTTGTCCAATGCTATTCCCGCGCTTATAGCGCTATCAGAACTACCAGCAATGAGTCTATAGGAGCATTAGCTACTTGTCCGCTCTATCTACCGCTTGTCCGCTCTATCTACCGCTCGTTCCCACGTCTAGTGCTTGTCCAGTGCGCTGTTCTCGTGCTCTAGGATCCACCCGAAACGTCGGAATCCATCCATGGTCCATCCTACCTCATTGGTATGTAATTTGCCTTGCCTCGAGTTTGTAAAAGTGCTACAGTCTTATTACATGTATATCCTATCCCTTCCGAGTCCGAGATGGTATAGTTTACTAGTATAAGAAGCCTATGGTGACTACTTCAACATAGGCATTAGCACGGTGTAGAGACTCGCGTTTCTGCAGGCACATATGGGCACATTTCGCACCTTTTCACAACTCATGACAATTGGCCTTCAATGCACGACTCACACCATCAGCTATATTCAACTTCTATCATGTCCCTAGTCGTTTTACACACAACACGCAGCTTTCCTGCGAAACGCGCCATAGGCGCGGTACTTTCCCACACAATGTGCAGTATTCCCGCATGCGCGCCTTGCGCGCTTTCTCGCGCTTAAGCGCCCTGCATCACCTGTTACAGTCAAGTACGCCCCTATTCATTTTCCTTTGTTTACTTTCTCTTTATGTTGTATTACGCCACGATCGCATCATGCCGTCGCTAGGTGATCTATTCTCGTCTTATCTCTGACTCGTTCCAATTCTCACCCTATCTCTGACTCATTCTGATTCCGTCTTACCTGCCCTAAAGCAGCTACCGTTTACTATATAAACTTGTTCTGTACTAAGTAGTTCTTTACTTTAATCTTACTAGGTTTTACCTGGAACTTCCTTCGCTTAAGACCTCCAATCTTAAGTCATATTGAACTTGATTCAAGACAAGGACACTCTCCTTGTCTTGTCTTTGTGAACTACTGAACTTCGGCATACGCTGAAGCTTTGAACCGACCTTGGCCGATTACTCTTATCGAGTAGCCATACGTCAGAACCATCCTAGTTCGTAACAAAAGATTAAAGTCTTCCACGAACACATCGCTATCACACGCTGTAACCCAGACAGAACAAACCCTGGTCATCACGACAGATAGAACCCCAGGTCCCCAGAAGCTGAAACAAACTGACGTCATTAACACCAATTTTTGGCGCTTTGAACTTAGGTGCTGTACCACCCCTACCACCGTTGAATCCCCCAATGTCTTCCTCAAAACCCGTTGAAATCAAGATCGGATCTCCCCCAGTCTTTGACGGGGACAGAGATAAATCCGAAGGATTTTTGATGTCGTGCATGTCTTATCTCGACATCAACGAAAAGATCTATATCGACGACAAACAGAAAATTATCTTCGTAACTTCCTTCATGAACGAAGGGAACGCGCACTACTGGAAGGAGGACTTCCTCAGGCAAGCGCAAGATCCCAATAACAAGACTACTGCAGGCCTTGTCAGAGGATA